CCTGCGTTCAGACTCGGTGACTGCATTTGTCTTTTGAAAGGTGGACGGGTTAGGCCATCCCTACTGCACAAGAAGGGGTACTTAAGGCACCTAGAGCGAAAGCCAACAGGGGACCCTCAAATAGTTACACCCCTGCCAGCAAATCAAGAAGTCGGCGATCTCAATGCGTCAAATGAGTGTTAGGGTGAACATGTGGAAGATGAACTGCCCTGCCCATGCCTCTTGCCGACATCCTCTTGCAGCTGTTTCACATTGATCTTTTTTGAACTACGCCACCCGACCCTGCCTGTGCTTTTTCTTCTCTCCTTTGGCCCATCGGAGCAGCAAGTGATCAAGAAAAGTCCATGGACCTATGGATGAGTTGGCTATGGTAAGGCAGTCAGCCTGCAAGCAGTTGAAACAAGCTTGAAACTGTAGAGAAAATGCTTGTGGTCCAATACAGTCTATACTTTGAACATCTTGGAACCCCCGAGGCTGCCTCATCAGCCTCTCTGGCTCGCTCCACAGCAGGGAGTAAATAGGCCAAGGTCTTCCCAGAGCCTCGCACGATCTCAGAACACAACGCGCAAATGCAACGCTCCCCACAACAGCGCCATGCGTTGCTGGCCTGTTTCAGAGACAAGCACCTGGCTGGCAAATTGAGACCAGACCGGCTCACAAACGTTGCAATGCTCACAACGTGTCTTATTCGTGCAAAAGGGGTTGAGCTTTCTTTGATACTTCAGTATTAGGAGGTTCGCTTCGTGTGGCAAGTGACCCAAGTACACGTGTCAACCTAGGGATTCTGAATTTCACCATGTACAACCTAACTGACTTTATGTTCATGTCTGGGTTTCTGTCAAGTTGGGAAATCGCTGTCCTGTGACTAAAGGTAAACATGCCACATGCACCGCATGCTTGCCAGAGCCGATATGCGGCAAGGCTAAGGCTTGAATGGGGCCTTAGCAAGCGCATATCTCTACCCCTCCATAACAATTAACTATCCTCAACAACCTGGGTAGAGGCTGTATATATATGATTCCCAAATTCAATACAGGCTCTTCATGATCTGATTTTTGCACTTTGTCTATGCATCCTTTCTCCTTCCGACTCCTCCTTCGATCGCTCGCTCTCTCTATCTCTCTGCACAACCAAGAAAGAAGTCCGAGTAAACACGTTGAGGGTATGAGTAACTTCCCTGTCAACAAACACATGGAAGGAATTTATCGATATGTATCGATCTTCTTCAAAGAACGACAAGTCCTTACCGGGATGAGCACATGACATTCCGCTCCTGTACAGTGAGCTGTCACATACGGAAACAAAGACGTACAAATACCACAAACCGTCGAAGGCAAGAATGCCGCCCATGCAGGAAGCGTCGAGCCTTCGAAGTTGTCAAGTACAATACATACAATATGGCCGGGCTCCTGTGGGCCCTGGGGAGTGAACTCGAGGGTCAAAGGTATAAGCCTACAACATCAATAGTAATTGGACAACGTCATCTGCAGACTGAAGAAGGCAAATGTCAGTGGAGCGCCAAAGGTTCAGCTGCTTCGCATGCGTAGCCAGCCATGCGCAGGCAAGGAAAGGCCGGCTCAGACACAAGCAGAGAAGTTGCAGCCACCAGCCACCATCTTCAAGCAAATTGCTCGTCAACAACTAAGGCTCCAGAAGAAATCCGGCCGCAAGACCCGCAGTGAGCGAGCTGCCAGCAGCCGCGGCGCGTCGGCGGCGCAAGGCACGACCGGCGCAGGGATGGAGCCACGCCCGGGTTTCAGGCGTACTCCCTCCATGAATATCCCATACCAAGGGGTAGTAGGTGACCCCCGCCTGGCGACAGGTGGATTCAGTCTGGAGATGTAGCCGCTTGTGCTGAGCATAGGTCGACACTGCCTCATGTGAGCCACGAAGGGTTTCATCCCAATGGCTCTCACCCAAAGCGTTGATGACAGCCACATCCAAGGCCAGAGGCTCAAGTAGAGGACGAGATCCATCTGGTAAACGAGGCAGAAGACCAGCGCCACGACGAATCAAAATGTCAGCCGGGCGCCGGTGTCCATCCAAGATACCAGGGGCCTCCGCCTGAGGGCGGAGTTGGGCTCGAGTACAATAATCCAAAAGCAGGTCACGGAGGCCATTGTGAAGGGCAACCGCATCCCCACCAGCCATGCATGACTGGGCGTGACGCCCCTTTGCATCAACAACATGACCACAGAAACGACAAGCTCCACCTCCAGCGCACACATCGACGCCAAGGCGACCACCCACACAAAGAAGGAAGTCGTCCTTGGAAAGGTTGGTGTCAAGTGTGTGTGAAGGAGGGAGGTGCAAGACCGTCTCAGCTCCAGCAGCAGAGAACGCATTGAGGCGGCACAAATCATCTGCACCAGCATCAACCTTCCAGGCAGAAACCTGGGCTGGGCCATGGAAGGAAAGATCACCAGCTGCCTGTATGCAGCACCTCAAAGCTTTGTTTCAGTGATCTAGAAGTTATACTGTAGATTCTTTTGGTTTCTTGATGGTGTCTCTGCTTTTGCTTGGGCATCCTCTCTTTGGTCGACTCCGCGCTAGGTCCTCCGTGCTTGGCTGTAAGATCTCACGTTCTGCGAGCGCCCTCCGCGACTCGAACGGCAAGGAGGGCAGCAAATCCTGAGGCGCCGTCGCCACATGGCCACCGGTTCTTGAAACGCTATTGATAATAGCGATGGCCTCCAACCTGCTAGCTCCAAAGGATGCAACTGACCGGAGTCCATACTTTGAAAGGAGATATTGTGAGACATCTGTGAAACGCCTGACTTGCAATCTGACGTGCAGTCCTCCAAGCTCAACTTGCTCAAATCCACCTTTGGGATCTCCTGCCCACGCCCAAAGCGTGGCTGTCGATTCCAAGCTGGCAAAGGCTTTAAGGAGCCACTGCATACTCAATGCAAACAGTCAAAAATTAACAAATCCGCAGTCAATGCATCTGTCTTTGGCCTCAGGTTGAGCCCGAGGGGCCAAGAAAACTGGTGGCCAAACCTTGGAGGGTGAATGACCAGTGAGTGTTCGCCTCTGCACAGCCTCTCTCGTTCCTCCTTGGTCTGAGCTATTTTCTCTTAAAGAAAGCAAGTGAAACCGGTGCACTTTCTCAGACGTTTGATTTGCCGTGCTCCTGGGCTGCCGGACCAGCAAAAGCAATAGTGACAGCAGCCTACAGGTGCAGAAATGTTGGAACTAAATCCGTGATGAAATGCAAAATCTGATATTAAAAAAAGAGTGCGATGCTCACTGTGCTCACGGTGCAAGGCGACTCAATCTGACCCTTCAATCAATTCAGTCCCTTGGATAAGGTGGGAGGGCATATCATGGCATATCCTAGCAAGTGGGACAAATTAGACAGTCATTCGAGCTATTTGTGTATGTATCCATCCACAACCCGCTGCAGTGATTGCACCTATGTCGATGCTGCTCCATGGCACAGCTGCTCAACTGCGGACCTTCCTACATCTGCTAGGCTGCTAGCTGAAAGGTTACAAACCAGAATTCTTTAGCCATTCGTTGATAATTGTTAGTCTCGTATGCACAAATCACCATCAGGCCCCTCTCAACACTTCGTCAAACAAATGTGATGCCCAAGGCATATCAGTGGGATTGAGATTCACTTTATTCAGTTTGGTCTTGTGTCTACAGGGATATTATTGCAAAGGCACTCAAAGCAAATGGCTATACAGCAAAGCCATTATTAAGATTTGCAGTGCCTTGACAAGTACATGTTCAAAAAGGGCTAAAGGAGGATCGATACTTGTGAGCACTTCAGTCATGAACACTGCACTTGACTGTTTACTACCTTACTCTTGTCGTAATTTTTCATCTAGATCCTTCACCCAATGGCACTCCACACATCAACTACACCATAAAGTCACAGAATCTGGAAGCTTCGTGAGCGAAGCCAAAGCGTTCCTACCTGAAGTCGCGGGTCCGCCCAAAGTTTTCTGCTTTTTATCGTGCACGTTCGCCTCTTGCGTTGGCTGCAGTCCACGACCATCCGGGAAAACGGACGGGGACTCTCGGTCGCAGGTCGCAGCAAGTGATAGAAGTTGGAATCAGCGTGGGATGTAGTCACAATTATTTTTAAAAAAATAGATAAGTAACTAAATAAAACATGCCAAACCTCATCTCATAATGTTTCTTGGAGATAAATTAGCTGAAAAAGAAGGATACCGACCGCATCTCCCATCCAAAACATGCTACACACACCCTCAAAGGCACCGCACGAGCTATTGGTCCAGCTGCAAGAACAAAACCACTGGAGTGTGCCCACTGTTGTTCGATGGGGCTTGCAGCCAACAATTCATTCCGTGGGTATGCAAACTCACACAAAATGGCCAACAAGCTCTTCCGAGGCTACTTACAATACCAAGTTAGGACACAACACACACACACAAGCAATCCCTTTGAATGCACTGGGGTGTCTGGGATTCTGGGTCAAGCTTGCCTTGACCTGTCCGTTCTGCACAAATTCAATCAAATTCAGGCACTCCCAGGTGGAGTGATGCGAATTGCCGGGACTTGCAAAGTCATCAAAGTTGTAAGTTGTTAAAGACCTAGAGTCCTAGAGTCCTAGAGAAGACCTAGAGTCCTAGTTGTAAGTTGTAAGTTGTTAAAGGTGCCCAAAACACTAGGTATATGGCTTTGAGTGTGGGATCTCTCCAGTCAAGGAACACTTCAATTCAAGCGTACGATGCAGTCCAGAAATGTTGCGACCAGGAGGGCCGAGAGGAGACCGAAAGCAAGTCACGGTGGAAAACAATCACCTTTACAGAGCAGACGATGGAGCAGACATGAACAGACCTTAGACATCCTTAAACCTTCCCGCTCCCCCTTACCTTCCCGCCAATCGACATTGAGAATCGAGTAACTTGCCAAAGATCCACCCCCACATGGATCTGACTCATCACATCATCACATCTTGTCTCATTCGTTCTCAAACTGAGCTCGGAATGTTCGCACCAGAGTATTGAAACCAACTACTGTGGAATTCAAACTCCGAAGCCTGCATGGCATGGCTTCACATGTGCAGAGGGCGTCGACCTATCTGTCACCACATGTGAACGGAGGTCCTTCGCACAAAGAGGCATGACCTGAGCAGTGAACAAAAGGGCGACCAAGTAGGATGTTGCAAGCTACAAGGACTTCCAAACATATGTTCTGCATAAATACATATAAATACACTCTTCCAACTGGTTTGGATGTCCACAATCTGAGACAAACTAACGTCTATTCAGGCTCTTGGACGTTCCTTCCCAAGCTCGTCCCCTATGCCCGCGCTGCGCCTGCGTCCGGATTTCCACTAAGGAAGGGGCCTGGCAGTCCAATTCCTTTCCCGATGCAGAGAACACTCCCATCCGAATCAGCGAAGCTCTGCCAACGGAACAGTCATCATCTCTGCCCTCCCCAGGAAGCAAAGTCCGTGCCTCTTGCCCTCACTGCCCCTTCCCATTACACGCTGGGCATCCACACAGAGAGGCGTGGATGTTGAGGTGACAAAACCTCCTGTGGTCGAGCTTTCTGGTATCTTTGAACATGTCTGCAAACCCTACACTTGGTTTCTCGGGCGCACTTGGGTGAAGTTCCTGTGGTTGAGCATAAAATGCATTACAGTATCAGTTCATGTCATGAAGAGTGCTGGATGTGGAGGTTTGAGCCTGCAACAAGTCAACTACTGTCGCAACCCTCAAACCTCAAACCCTCTTTACTGTTTTGCCCTGAGTCTGACTCCGCTCCAGACCCCATTAAACATCAGGACATTAGTGCCGACACGGGCAATTGTGTAGGCAACGGAATTGATTGTAATCCAGCTGGAGGTAGTCTACACAGTCAGCTTGACCAAGTGCAGTGCCAGCCTGACTTTGTACCAAAAAACTACTACAGTCTCGAAGAGCAAGATTGCCAGTATTATTATCTGATATTCTCTGGAAGCTCTTCCTGACGCTCTTTGCTTTCTTGAGCTGATGGGACAATCAGTTCGACCGCTCTTCAGTCGATGTCTGATCACCGGGCGTGAGGTAACTCCTCACAGTCTGTGAACGCTGCTAAATGAGATATTAGGGCTGTGGAATGATCCTGCTATGAATTATATAAATGTGTTCAAGTTGCCGATACCTACTGAATGGTTCCTGGCGACCTACTATGTTGCGGGTCATGCACCAAACATGAATTCCTGATGGATTGCACATTCATCCTACTATCCCCAATCTGGCTTCTCTCCATAGCCCCTCTTCAAAGCATAGCTAGGACAGCAGAGGGCTCACCAGCTGGTGCTTCATGAAGCTCCCATATCTGGAGTTCTCTCGAGCCACCAACCTAAATGCGTCCAGACGTGCGTCCAGACGTTAAGATGTCTTAGGAAGTGGAATGAGCAAAGTGTTTCCTTCCATGTCCTTCCTCTTTAATTGTAGGGGGTCATACCGAGTTCAGGCTGTCGGGGTCAGATTTGGAGGTCAAGAAAAACCTACTTGAGCTCCGACCCAAGCACTCGCTGTGACTTCCTTCTTCAATGACGTAGCCCTTGTCCAGGACCATGATCTTTGTGGCCCCAATCACCGTGGACAAGCGGTGGGCAATGACCTGGGCCATGGGCGAATCGGATTTGCATCGGAAAACTTGTGAAAAACGGCAGGACCAAAGACAGGAGAAAACCAGAACTGCCAAACTGACAGGTAGGTGACAAAGGTCGTCCTCCCATTCATCAGCTCGTCCAGTGCTTGCTGAACTATATGCTCATTCTCGCTGTCCAATGCACTAGTGGCTTCGTCGAGTACTAAAAGCTTCGGGTTACGAATGATTGCACGCGCAATAGCCACCTTGGTGACAAAAGTAAGTAAGCAAGCAAGCAAGCAAGTCAGTCAGTCAGTCAATGCAGGAAAAAACATGCAAAAACCAACTCTTCCCAAATTTGGGAGTAGGAAAACACGAACGGGGTCTTGGACCTAGTAGCTGGCGAGTGAGAAATTTCCGAACGGTAGGAGATGCAGCGAAAGACAAGTGTAAAGAGCTCTGCCAACACATATGCGCCAAGTTGCGCGCTGTTTCTGTCCACCTGAAATTCGAGCAGCGCGCTCACCAGGATGAGTATTGTATCCATTTTGCAGCGTAGAAATGAAGTTGTGAGCATTGGCACGACTTGCAGCCTCCTGAATAGCATGTGTGTGTTTTTGTTGACCCTGCAAAGTGTCATGTCTCAAGGGGTGCACTATGTCCTTCATGACAGTGTAGAGGACCGGCAATCCATTACCTTTGAGTTTCCCATCTCCACATGCATTCTGAGTTCACAAGATTAATTAGAGCCGTAGCCTAACTGTGGCATGCAGTACATTGCCATGCTTTGCTGCTTATTGTCATATTGTCATATCATGATCCTTGAAATCGCTTGGTAGCGAGGATTTCCTGCTCTCCTGGATATCCTTCATGGGCGCACCTTTGGCACTGCCATAGGCGATGTTCTCCTCGAGCGTCCGGTCGAACAAGACTGGCTCTTGCTCTACAAAGCCTGGGCGCAACGTGCAGATGGTGAGCCCAGTTTCCAGCAGGACAGGTCGTAGAAGGGGCCTACGACCTGTCCGCATTCAACTCTACCAGGTCACCCGCATGTACCTTTGAAGGACGGCGTGGCCGCATGGCCGGGGAAAGAGGGCAAAAGCTACGCACAAGAATGCTGAGGCATCACCACGTAACCAATCTGAGCGCGCAACCATCGAAGATTTAGGCTTCGATAGTCAAGGGCATCGAAGAAAATGTGTCCGCTTGTAGGATCATAGTGCCGTAAGAGCAATCGTCCTAGGGTACTTTTGCCTGCGCCACTTTCCCCCACCAAAGCAACCACATCTCCTGGATTAGCTTCCAAGTTGATTGAGGACAAGACCTGATGATCAGGACGACTTGCATAGGCGAAGGACACATCCTTGAGGTGCAAACGCCCAAGGCAGTTCGTGGGCTGCAAGCCCTGGTCGAAGGCAAAATCTGGCTGACGCAACAGCAGCTGGATGAACTTCCCGGTAGAGGTGATGGTTTGCTTGAAATTGATCCAAATGTCTGCCAGATTCTTGAAGCCATCCTGCAAGGTCACCACAACGGTAAATGTCTACTCTTGCCTATGCCGGCTCAGAAATCATAGGCACCTTATATAGATCTGGGACATCAAGAGTGATGCAAACACCTATTGTCGTGCTTCCGCCAACACCTTTCACCATATGTCTCTGATCTTGAGCAGATCAGAGTAGCATCCTGATGCAAACTTAAGCTAGAGTACCGCAATGATTCGCAATGTACTGCACAAGTATTTATATTATTACTATAAGTGTGATAGACTTCTCCCGGCCAGCACAGGGTTGTGAATCCTGACAAAGCAAATGTTGCCGCCTTTGGACAAGCATGTGTTCCGGGGGAATGACTGGGCGGTCCTCATAGAGGGTCACATACTGCGCAAATGCAGTGTAGCTGCCGATGGTCAGTTGTCCGGTTATCACTTGATTCATTGCAACAGCAAGAACGACGATATTTCGGACTTTGGACAGGCCGTACTGCGTGAAGCGGAGCACAGTCTCTAGATATACCTGAATCTTTCAAGCCAGTCTCATACAACATGTGATGGAGTGCGTGATAAGCTCACCACAAGCTGCACTGCACTTGAGTGAGAAACTGTCCTATAGCTTCCACTGTGAAGTTGAGTGGTAAAACCCCATATAGACCCGACAGCACAGAAAAAGACGAGCATCTAGACTCAAGACTTTCATCCTCATAGAACAAACCTCACCAAAACATGCCAACGTTCCTCGGGAGACCGTCGCTTTGATGATCCGAAGATAGCGATTCAAGCGATGCATGAAGAACTCAGCCTCATACTGTTCTCCGACATTGGATTGGACAGTCCTCCAAGTCTTCAGAGTCGAACATTTGACAGCTTTCATCATAGATTTATGGCTCAGAAGGCAAAGCCCTGACCTAAGACTCTTTGATTATGAATGGCCGCGTTCACCATAGATGTCCCCAATAAAACCGTTCTCACCTTGTATGACTATCTTCCATCAGATGACTTGATTGCAATGCACAGGAGAGCCTAGCAGAACAGTCCTCACACTACCCAGCACTTCCACTGCCACCGCATTGGCTTTTGCCATGGCATGGTTCTGCACAACACCATAGAACCCAACCTGCTGGACAGTGCCAAGTCATTCCCAGAATGCAAACGAGTGTGTTTTGAAAAGCCAGGGAAGGCTGATTCGATTGCACAAAATGAAGGAGGTGTGGCCAAAAAAATATGTCATTAAAACCCCTTGGTTTGAAGTTTGAAGACAAGAAAATGTGCCAAACAAAGAAAAAAACAATGAAAAGGCTGTCCCGCTGTGAGGACCTGATGTGCTCTCAGCTGGATAAGCCTTGAGACCTCCATAAATAACATGAAAGAACAATCTGTTTTGCGATACAAGTCCTTTCTTCACGGTGCTTTGCAGCAAACCCTCTTGGAAGGCCGAAAGAGCATTGATTGCAGCCTAATCAAATAGCACAATTAGTCATATCCAGACTCCAGACCAGGTGTGGTGGAAGCCACAAAACTCGATTGTTGACCCACTAGTTCACTTAGGTTAAACCGGTTAAACTAGAAAAAGGAACTGCCAAAAGCAAACGAAACAACCGCTGCCACCACAGGCGCCGTCTTTCCGGTCCGCTTTACAAGGACCATGTTGATGGGAGTGATGATGGTCGCCTCGGTAGCCCGATCTTGAAAAAGGAGCGCCTCAAGGCCCCAAAGTGTCCAGTATGTGCAAAGAGGTGATGCCAGGACTTGGAAGAAGGAACAAAAATGCTTGTCACTCTGTACCCCTTCAAATCATTGGACTAAAACCCTTTCATACTGCACAGCGGCACAGCGCGAGGTTCTTGGTACTGGGACCACGCTGCTTTTCGGGTGTGGTATTGCTTCGTAGCGTGGTGAAGAGTGGACCCTCCTTCTGCTGTCGTGTAATTGTCGAAAAAGCACAGCAGGGCATGTCATCTCTCGAAGAAATAGATGAATTTGAATTTCAATTTGAATAAATAGACATGTTGAGGCTTGGAACATCCTGGAACATCAGTCGTCCTTGTTCGTTTTCAACCAACCCCCTATCACCCCCAGCAGCAAACCTCTTTCTTCACCGGGTGACCAGCAAGGCCAGCTTTGGGTGTGTGGCGAACATCGCCAGCAAGGAACCGGCAAACTTTACCACCGCGCCCAGTACCGTCCTCGGCGTGGGCCGCACGGAAGCGTCGTTCCCTATGCCCTTCGTTCCTAGTAACGTTTTTGTTCCTAGTAGTAAGGCCAGGAGCCCCTAGTTGCGTCCTTGTTCCTAGTAGCGATGCCCTTTGCTCGTGATTGTTTGCACGGCTGAAAAGATCGCTGAATCGCCGGATCACTGGATCTTGACCCGACCAAAACTGTATCCAAGTCTCTGCGTGGTGAACTGTGTCAAGGAGGACAGGGCTTGAGAGTCGTTGATCAAACGACTGGAGAGCTCACCACTCACGTGCGAGTCGTAAAAGGCGATCCTTGCAGAAGATAAAGCAGGCAAAGCCGAATTGACTCCGAAAAAAACATCTGTATAAGAACCAGTTGTGTGAGCAGTATTCAGTATGGATGGTTTCTCACAGCAAAAACGCGAGGTAATCCGATCTAGTCTTTTGCCTGAACCGGCAGGCTCCACAGAAGTTCCAATTTTGAACTAGTTCGGGAAATGGAGCAAGACATGGAAAGAAGGCCACAAACGAACAACACCTTAAGTATCATCAATGACCACATCAAGCTTCAACATGTCATTTCAACAGTGCCAGAAGCTCGCCAACTGCTTCTGTTTCCATGTCAAGATGTCATATACTCTATTAACTATTATACTCTTCGTCAGAAGTCTAACTTTACCAATGTCACTACAGACACACCTCCTTTCTTCCAAGGTTGGCATTGGGAAGATCTATCGCGACTTCTCTGGCCAAGATGCTCTTGCTCGGTGAGGTTCTGGAAGAGCTTGATTCGCAGTCGAGTCACCGTCGTGTGACCACAAATGGCAAAAAGAATGCCTCGCTGTTTTGTCAAGGAGGGCAGGAAAGAAGACTGATTTGCTTGAACTCGGGACCACATGTAGCAGCAGCAGAAGTGTGTCAGTTGATGGTACTGGTCGGTCGTCTTGAAACCAAGAGGTGTTCGTTTCTGGCAGGTAGCAATATGCCAAGATGCCAACCATGATCTCGCAAAGGTAGCTGCTGAACATCAGAACCTCATCAGCATCAGTTGGACCAGCCAAAGAGGGGCGGAGCTTTCTCAATTAATTACAAGATGATAAACAAGAAAGGAGTGTCAAAACATGAAGACTTGAATGGCTGACAAAGCAAATATATACAAAGACAAACATGCTGCATATTGTTCTAAGTTTCCTGTCGAGTTGCCGAAAGGAGCAAGATGGGTTCAAAGAGTGCTGCGCCAATATCAACAGCCTCCCAGGCAGGTGACATGAAGAATCAGGGGCCAAGCCCTGCCCTCCAGCACATCTTGTCCAAAAAGATCCTGAACGGTGGAGGTAGACCATGTTTGACTGACTCATAACCCGAAAGCAAGTCGCATGCATCTGTAGGGTCTCCTGCAGCCTACTCTATTTGTTTCACTCAAGTGACTCAAGTGTTCATCCTAACATGGTTCGCCTAGAAAGAATATTTCTTAACTCTCAAGAACAGTCAAGGTGGGCATTCCCAAAGCATTCAGGAGAGCAACTGTTTGTCTAAAGTGGAAGTCCATGACATGCGCAAGTGGCTCCGAAATGTGGCCAGCAAACCTCCAAAACAGCCTATGTAATCCATTCTTTGTCCAGCATAACAACAGCACCGGGCACCCGGTAAACCTGGCCATTTCAGCGTAAACCTGGCCATTTCAGCGTCAACGGCCCACCTCCGGGCCATCTTTGGCATATTTGGCCGCTTCAGAGACGGCCACATCGACCAGTTGACCCTGCACCCATGGGACCATAAAGCTCAAGGTCGTCAACACGAAGGAGACCACGATACCCGAAATCCTCGGCACGCAAGTTCGGCAACAGGGCCTGTAGCGAAGAAAATACGACTCACCACGAAGAAACTAGTGGTGTAGAAGGACCACGGAGGTGCCGAGGATCAAGAAGTGCATTGGGCACAACGAGAAGACTTCGTTCTTCAGCAACTTGAGTGAGCTGGCAATGGTGACCGCTTCCAAGCCTCACACGAACGGAAACCTGCCGTCTCTGACGAATGTGAAGCCGGCCGGCAGCCTGAAAAGGTGTTCGAACTTGGCCCAGGCTGGTGGAACTTCTAGTAACAAGAAGCTACTAGGAACAAAGGGCATCCCTACTAGGAGCAAGGTTGCTACTAGGGGCTCCTGGCATTACTACTAATAATAGTAATAAGAAGCTACTAGAGCTACTAGTAACAGCATGTCAAAAATCTCAAATCCAAGAGACCGGTACGTCCGTGTTGCTCTTCTTGAGCTTGCTGGCCCTCCGACTGGATCTGTCGGGCCTCTTGCAGGAGCATATTGTGCATTTTGACCTGAGACTCTCGTGGCGAGTAGCAGTCATCAGTTGGCTAGTACTAGATTGAGACGGTGGGTTTTACGTCCCAGTGGCCACTAGGGCCCCTGAGTTGAATGACTGAAAAAGTGAAGAAGGCTATAATAGAAGGAAATCAAACTTGTCATCCCAGAAGCGTATGAGAGTGCCCAGCAAGCACTGGCTGGCCAATCCGGATCCTACACAAGGCAGAGGTGACAATAGCACACAAATGAACATATCAAACTATGGCAGTTCCCCTCCCCCGACATTGTCTATCTCTACAACTGGCTTTGGGCCGTGTTGTACCAAGGACCAGAGATTCGTTCAGGTCGCGTTGAGGTCGTACAGAGTAAGTCATTTGAGGCTCCCTCCCTGCCTGGGAGAGCCTCTCTCCGTCCAGCTGTTGCCAAGACATCTGACCTAGCATAGCAGACTAACCTGCATGCTTCTAGAATCGAGAATGATTCTTGGTTGCCTCATTTCCTCGAGAATACCAAGTTACCAACCTCCTCACTTTGCCAAATGCATTCGAGGTGCTCTCTGCCGGTTCTTCCGGGCGCAAAGACCGCTGGAACGGAATCCGTGCATCATCCATCGTGCTCAAACAGAAAACATGGCTGGCGATCGTTAAGCGTATTGAGGCGGCTCGGGTGGATGAAGTCGAATCTCAGGGCGTATGAGCCAAGGAACTGCTATGCCGATCAAACTGCTATGCAGTTTGTCAGGTCCCTCAGCAAACTGCATCCAGTGGTGCCATCTTGCAGAAATTCTTTGTCTATGTAATTAAGGATTTGCCGCTTGAGGCAAAAAGCTGCAGCGGTATGCAGACATACCAAAGAGAATCGCTCTTCAAAGGGAGCCTTGACTCCAGTGCAGCATGTTGCAACTCAGCATATTAGATGTAGGGATAGCTGAGATAGACACTTGTAGCATCAATCAAATGGGGCCCCATCGATACACAAAAGTCTGTCACCACCAGCGCTGGTCTCCGGAAGTAGCAGCACAGGCGGGGCAGAAAGGGAACCAGCACGGGTCGCCTGTGCACGTTTCGGTTCAGTGCTTTCCACAAGCGTTAAAGTGCGATCTCAAAGTGAAGATGTTCAAAGTGCATCTGACGGAAGGATTCGAGACAACAAATTTAGGAGAAATCTGTAGAAACCCAGACTTGACTATGCGCCATCCAACAGTTTCAATAGCTCGAAAGACATGGTTCCCCTCTGCAAGCCCCACCTTCGCAGGAGACACTTGCACAGTGCTTCGAGTTGTACTCAATGCGGGCGGAGCTACCCTGGGATGAGGAAGCCAGCCCTCCCGCTGCGCGTGTATTCTTCTGCAGTAGAGAGGGATTAGGGATTGGGATGCAAATCTCAAGCCAATCACATTGGCCCGTCAGCACCCGCTTTTGCGATTGCATTTCAATCCTTGAAATCATACAAGCTGAACTACGCAAGCCTTTGGCAGAAGCCAAACTGCCATGACTTAAAACGATGCCGCTAAATACTTTCCCACTACCCTGCCGGGAAAGCTGATCGGTTGCCACAGATCAACTGAATCTACTTTGAGGATCTTTGAGGGATAGTGAGTAGCAAGCTCTGGATTTGCCAACGGAACCTTTCCTACGAATGTGTGCAAATACTTCAGCTCACCGTGTGTAAGTCATCAGACAACAACAAGAGCATCTGGTATAACAAATGTGATGTGATTCTCTTGTTCAATCGTTGGGCGTCGAAGAGCCGCGCCTCACGACGGCTGGAGTTCCAGCCCTGGCAACGGCGAAGCTGCGGTTCATTGGAATTCCATCCGACCACTTGGGACACGTCAAGCTACTGGATGCGACTGTCAAATCCTGTGAAGGGGCAGCAAGGGCAACGGCAGAGCAGCCCTTTTTCAGAGTCCATGTCCGGAAGCAGTCAACGATTGGTACCTTAATGCTTTAGAAATATAAATAGATTATTAATATTTACAAGACCTCTGGGTATTTTTATTCAGAAGGACGAGCGAAGAAAAAAATGCATGCGAGATTGCTTTCAGAATTTCATGAAAGGCGTGCTGTAACTCCAACGGATACTGTAACATCTTGCACCAAATACACACTTGAAGTCGTCATGCAGAAAACAGCACCGAGGCCATATCCCAACCCTCCCAATCTTTCTGACCATTGCAGAGGGCTCCCAAAGCGCCTTGGGGTAGTCCAGCTTGCCAACTTTTTGCTCGGCACCTTGGCATGACAGCCGATCGCTGCCTTTCAAATTAGATCAGTGAGACACAGCAAGATCATTGACCAGGACCTGACAAAGCTACTAGTAACTCCTGGCATTGCTGCTAGCAACAAAAAGCTACTAGGAACAAGGGCAACTCTACTAGTAACAAGGTACTAGTAGCTAGAAGATACTAGTAACAAGACCTATCAACATCTAGCCAAAGACCGGTCTGAGAAGCTCAGGAAGGTACTGGTGTCCCAGGCGATCGCCCAGAGACCTCACAAATGGTGAGAATCGCCAGCTGCACGAAACTGTTCCAGATACGGCATCAGTGACTCATGCGGCCTTAAAGTCTCGTCACAGCCTAAGATTTTGCTCTTAGCACATTCAAAAGAAGCGGCCAGTATGGTGATTGGCGTAGAGTATGTTGACAGGTAGGACTTTTTCTCCACCACCATCCACTGAGAGATGGTGGCAGAAACCAGCTCAGGAAACAGGCAAACATTTCAGCACATGTTCCCATCAATTTGCTGCACAAACGAAGATGAGAGCATCAATTGCCCATGGCAGCCCAGCAAAACCAGTTTCAAACTTTCTCCAAGGACCCTTTCTAACCCTGAGTATCAAACATACCTCACCGATTGCAACGCACATAGTCACCAAAGGTCAAACACAGGCCAAACACCAACATCGCAACCCACCATTTTGGTTCTGCAAATCCATAACCCTACCATTTCACGTCCGAGCTCCCACACCGGCACCACGGTGCTTTTCATCACCTGTAAGGGCCAAGGGATTGCTGACACCGACAATGAACAATGAGCTTCCTGATGTAAAGCAGTAACAGCTTAAGGCTTGGGCTTAGGTTACTCCCACTGAACCAGGCAGGATTTGTCTTGTTAAAAGCGCATCAAACAAGCTGTCCCAGCCTGGTTGGGCTGCAAAGCCGGTGGCCTGAACAAGGCAGGGCTGGACAAACCCCATGACTCATGCCTAAAGTTGCATCATGTAGCAGCTTCTAACTTAAGAGACCTACCCACTACACCTGGTTGTTGTATAATGAATATATGTATTTATTTATTAATATTGTATTATATATACAGTGTACTCAGTATACATATTATGGTCCAGCTGTTGTCTCTGGTTCCATGCTGCTCAAGGTTCCACACCTCGGAGGCGACTGTGCCGGTGCTTGCGGCGCTGAAGGGGTGGAGGACGGAGCCTGGGCGGGGATGGTCTCACATACATGTGTGTTATACAGTTATACATAAGCAAATAATATGCATGAGACATATTGTAGATTGTATTGTAAAAGTTACAAATGTTTGCATACAATATATTGTACATATGTTGTACGTGCAGTGCTTTCGCAAAGGAAGCTTCTGTCATTGGACATGTGCGAATCTCATGCAAGTTTGGCTCAGGCCTCTTTATGTTTGATCTTAGAGGTGATTGAACGCGAGTTGCTTTCAACCTCTGAATGTGCATAGGCTTTAACTTTTCCGGTGTGGATTCTAGATGCCCTTGAGTGAATTGTGTACAGTAATTGGGCCAGATTGGATTCCAACAGCTCCGCCAAAGTTTGTGGCAGAACAGCCTAGTCATCAACAAATGCGATTGGCCACACCGTCTGGACTTGTTGGAAATCATGCGTCAACTGCTGCCATGTCTTGCAACGGATTGCAAAGATTTGAGGGAGGCCGACACGGCAAAACATTGCAAGCCGAGCCTCGCGGTTGATGTGAGGAGCAGACTCCGTCATGCGGCCCCTGCACGCGGTCCGAGCAGCTGGGGGGGCATTCAAAGTCAAAGCGCGACTGAAGCAATGTAGTCTCATAATTTATCTGATCACGGCAGAGATCTTTATCCAACAAAGCCTTTCATATCTTGCTTGGGATGTTCATAGTCCGGATCTGTAGGATTCTTTGAACTGCACGGCATCATGGCTAGCCTGGCTAGGTGGTTTAGTGTTTAGTCGGGTCAGTAGCCTCCCAAGTCTCACCACGTGGCCGGTGCACGAGTGGAAAAGAGCCCAGTGATAGCTATGGATTTGACATTGGACCATGCCAATGACAACTGCACACCCGATGCAGTGTCATGAAAAGGAAGAAAGGGCCTCCAGGGATGTGGCGACAGCTGCACCCTGAAGCGTTTCGAGCAAAAGTCATCAAACATCTGGACTTGTACAGTTTCTAACTTAGCTTGAGCATCGTCAACCAAAATTGTTTAAAGCATTGGCGAAAGAGTTGCAGGTACCTTCAGGACTTTTTTTGGCAGGTGGCCTATCAGGGAGGATATCTTGAAAGAAAACACCAAATATGACATGAGTCAACCAAGAACAAGCTCATTTCCTGCTCTGTCTCTGGTGAGAAGCATGCTCGCCTAGTTTGGCATGAAGGTCTTCCACAAACTGTCTTAAGGGTGGATATTCAGAAGCCTGCGGTCTTCGAACCACGACTTTGTGCTGGCTCCATGTCCGCTCAACTCCAGATCGAGACTAATTGGCGCTTCATTGAAACAAGGCTCTTTGAGACTCATTGGCTTGGGTATGGCAACATTCTCTCTTGGATCAATGATAGAGCTTCCGTGGAGAAATTCCTTCAAAACATCCCCTGGACTCCAAGGACGTGCCATGGAGGACGGTCGTGCTGGTGGAGACATTGCGATCTCGATCGTCTTCCTGGCCGCTGCGGAGGATGTGCCATGAAGACGTCCAGAAACTCGATGCATGGCCCCTCGATCCATGAAGTAAAAGGTCGCAACGAAAACTGATGACCCCCAAGGAAGCCTGTCATTTTACATTGTAGGTTGCCTCCAAGAATGGCTCATATAAGAAGTCTGCGCTTGCTGTGCCTTCGCTGTGCTTGCTCGGGCATTTTTGACTGCAGAGCCATCTTGAGATCATGAAAAGCAGCTTAACAATGGTCCCCCAGGAACTGTCCCAGCTTGGAGCGCCAAAGGCACACACCCGGCCTGGAGGTTCTCTTTGGCGAGACAATGGGTCGGATGGGCGAGGGGGACACACGGCCTCAGTGATGAGTCATGTGTAGATCTTACCAAAGACATCAGTTCAACCAATTACTACTAGCGTCCGTGCTCCTAGTAGCGATGCCAGGAGCCCCTAGTAGCGTCCTCGCTCGTAGTAGTAAGGCCAGGAGCCCCTAGCAGCTTCTTGTTACTAGTAGCTTCAGTCACGAACAAAAACTTATTGGTCAATATTATGATTGATGTTGCCACTGCCGTTATGACACTGCTGAAGTGTTGATCAAACTCTGCCCGGCAATATGTCCCTCCAAATTACCCGGACATCTCCTGGACAGAACTTACCTTCACTTGGTTTCAGCGAACACAGTACCGCTGTTGCTCGGTGGAATCCGAGGGTCGTGAGCATTTGCTGGGGTCTGAGGCTAACGAAGCTCACCGGCGACCGCGGCACCACCTTCACAACACTACCTGGCAGCCACGTGTGAACCCTGCACAACACCGCTCCGCTCCACGACCCAATGGTAGTCATAACTTCATCTTAACAGCAACATTGCGGCGCGGGGTACGATGCCAAAGGGGCCTCTTTGAAGAAGTGGTATAGCCATGACCATCCATGACCATCCATGACCATCCACCATGCACAAGTTACTTCCTGCGATCCCAAAGAAAGTGAGCTTGACCGCTGCTTCCACTGCTGAAAAGAGCTCGGTGAAGACGTCAAACTCCCCCCTGTATATCCTCGTTCTTCGCTCGTCTGCATGCTGCTTTACTACTGTGGTGGTGCTTTTACAGGCTACTGCCACACCTGGAAGATGTTCCGGCTTGATGGGCCTGCGGAAACGGGTTCGGCACACTGGAAACGGATGCAGGAAAGGCACTTGGTGGGAAAAAAATAGAATTACTTCACAATCTGCTTGCATCTCGCTCGTGGCCAGCGATGCTTTCGTGGTTCAAGCATATCGATCAACTGCCTTCCACAAAATATATGGCGATGTTGACAAAATTGACTGATTCTGACTTTGTAAGTTGAACAAGCTCTCATGTGCAGTACCTCGCCCCCCCACATGCGGCCTTATCTCTTCATCACCTCGCGCGACAATGGTCCTGAAGTGGACCACTTCACATTGACATAGCTGCAGGCTTCAATTGCGTGCTATGGTCGGATCACATGGATCTTCAGGGGGCGTGCTGCCCAAAGTTGCGGAATGCCTATGACCTCAGCTAAAGGCTTCACACAAACCCTTGGCTGTCTACTGCCTGGGGCGACCAGTCTCTCATCTCTAAGCCCGGTCCTTGCAGTATCGGGCTCCACCTGATCACGAGTGATGAGCCAGCGATGCTGTAATTCGGCTCTCTGCTCTTGCTGCCATAGACTCCTATTGCTATCAGCTCAAATACAGATTGTACCCTTGGCAAAGCAACGATCACAGAATGGTCAAAGTGGATGCACCAAATATGCAAACAGGAGAAGCCACCAGTCAAAGGCCAGTCATGACTCTGCCTCTCACATCTGAGCACAAAAGGTTCCGCCTCTTTGGACTCTTCATAGCTCTGAAGCTTCGCATGTGACGACGCCAAGGCTTGCCTCAAACGCTGCACCTGCGGGCGCGGCCGGGCGCCGAACACAGCAGAACTTGGGGTTCAAACCTTGGAAGTCTGGCTGGAAGTCTTGGGAAAGCTGGCCTGTAAACCACGACAATGACATGAACATGCCTGGTCAGACGCATTGGAGATGCTCCACTCGGTTTTTCCCCAGGAGCGGAGCCCCATTATTGCCCAGCTTCGATATCAAGCTGGAGGAACTGTCAATCTTGCGCCAACGGAACACACGCACGAGCGACACCATCTCGCTACCTCGAGATCTGAAACTTTGTCCTGGCGACTTGATGAAATTAGAAATCAGAGCTGATGGCAAAGAGACATCTCTCGCACCCAAAAAGAAGTCCAGTCTATACTGTTGCAGGCCTCTTAAGTGTCTGTGTATATACAGTAAGCATATTACCTCAAAACTGGCAAGGCCGCTACAGTGCAAGAGGACCGGGGAACGAACCTGTTGAGAGTAGACAGTATGACGCTTCCAATGGATAGAATCACTTCAATGCTGCGACTTGAATGACGCACCCGTGTGTCTTACAAAAAGGAACTGCTTTGGCTTCTTTACGAGTCATGACTTGCACCCCGCCCCCGGCGAAGCCAAGTCTCTTCCCTTCGGCCCTTCGGCCCTTCGTCCTAGCTACTAGTAGCTTCTTGTTCCTAGTAGCGATGCCCTTTGTTACGTTCGTAGCTTCGTTCTTCCCGTCCTTCGAGCCGTTCGCTTTCGCCAAGGCTTCACGCAACCTCGGTGCTGCACCGGTGAGCCGGGTCGAGGGTCGAGCCATGTGAGCTCTGTGGCGAGTGGGAGCGGATGATCTGATATGTCACTGTGAGTCGAAGTCCTTTAGCCGACCTTGTCCGTTTTTTGGTTTTGGGATGTTTTGGGGCGACCACTTTGACCCACACGTCCCCACACGTGAAGCAAAATTGCCGTTCCATGAAGCTTTCGGCAGGCGCTCGCTGCTCTTGCTTTTCCTCGCTGAAGCTCAGCCACACTCCTTGAGCTGCTTTGTGAGAAATGACTGGGACTGACTTTGTTTTCGAACGGAAGGAATACTCTGGCTGGCGGTCAGTCTCGGAGTGCCGGATCAGCTCATGCATCCGGTCAGCACCCTTCTCTGCAGCTTGATGGGAAGGCAATGACCAGCGCCTTCTCTGAGAAGTTTTGGATGTAGATGCTGCTTGGACTAAAGACACTCTGGACTCCTTGGTTGTTGCTTGGAGTTCCTCAGCACTTGTGAGCCAGGTCAACTCTTCTTGTCCTTTTTGTCGATGTACTCATCAGGTGGAGGAGGCTTCGCAGCACCCCTGAAGAAACGCAGTACGGAGAGGGGAATCAGATTTAATGCCATGCTATACCATGCTACACTGCTATCCAACATGTCAAGGCCCAACATGTCACGATTGCTTCTGTGATCTCCAGGGGGTCTGAGAAAGAGAAACGAGTGTCCTAACAGCTCACTCCCAGTCACTGCCAGTCACCCCAGCAACCCACGAATCAAACCAACTTGCCGATGACGTGTCAAGTCTTCAAATTGAGGCAGATCTCTGGGTGCTCTGGCCCAATTCAACTTCCTAACCCAGGCACCATGATAGGCTCCAATTCAGTCCAAGTTGCCGTAAACCTGGAGGCCTCTCAGGAAATGCCAAACTACGTCGATCAACCTGGGCACTAGGCAGGCTGCGCACAGGCGCTGATCATTCGCTGGGCTGAAGTATCATAAATCATTAGCCATATCAGCCCTCCCACCAGTGGAAGTTCCTGTGCTGATCCTCATGTCGTGTGCTGCGCTTTGGACGGCTGCAGAGTACCATTATATAAAACCATATAAAACCATGGCTGAGACGTCCATGATTCAGGCAGCCTTCCTTGCATTTCTACAGTAGATCCGGAAGCCTTTTCCCGAATTCTTGCCCACTCTGATTGGACTCATGCTCGCCCTGCTAGGCCCCCCCAAGCCCACCATTCACGCTGTCTGTCCCAGGGATCGGCAAGCCTCGTCTGTCACTCGGAACAAACTGCCCACGTGTACTGGGAGTGTGAAGGTTGCTCCGAGACATCCCAACCTGCCCCTTGACACAAAGTAGTAACAAGAAGCTATTAGAAACAAGTGCATCGCTTCTAGTAACAAGTGCCTCACTAGTAGTAACAAGAAGCTAGTAGTAACAAAGATAAGAACTGACAGGAAGTTGGAAGTGCGACAAGTCACACCAATGAATGAACGTGATGTCACACCATTTCACATCTCCACATGTCGCATCAAGTTCATTGATTCAGTACAGTAGTCACTCATAAGATCAAGTTTGAAGGTCAAAGCCGTGCTCCCTTAACATGACGCTCTGAGCTTTTGCGAGAGAATATCAACCAAACACCTTCCGTGCCCAGCCTGGCCTCGGAAGACTTGGAGTCCATGGGATGCCACGCAAAGGCTCAGGTTTTCGGCCCTTCTTCCATCGGGCCTTAGCATTCTTTTCACCCTTTACACACTGACCGTCAAGATCTTCAAGTTTATTTGGATGTTCAGACGAGCTCATCAAGAAACAACTCCTGAGACTTGTATTAGTGGCTTCTCCGGCTCTTTGTCTGCCACTTCTTGGACATAAAGCACTGGTGACACTTGTCAAACAGATGTGCGTTTCCTGTGAAGTGTGTCTTTATGGGCAGGTGATAGCAAAGAGAACAGGCTGCAAGGCATGCACAAAAAAAAATATATATATATATATACACATGTCAATGAGTTTCTTGCATGCCCACACCAAGTCCAAACCCTTGTGCTGAGTCAGAGACGTGATATCGCGCGCGGGTCGACATAGCCTCTGGACACGTCATATCCGTTCGCGGGTGAAGGTCGTGACATTCGCTGGTCGTCAATGGAGCTTCGTTTCGTGTCGTTGTGTGCATTGTACAAGAGTGTGGTGCTCTTTGGTTTGGGGCGGTGTTTTCTCAAAAAGATCCTGCTTTAGCATGGTGATGGAAGAAGCATAATTGCGATTTAATTGAGTATCGCAAGGGCCTCTTGAAATGCACAACGCCACACCGTTTGGAAGAACGCTTGGATTGCGGGTTAATGTGGGTAGAGATGGAAAAAAACAGGGTGTCTGTTCGATTTGCACCCTAAAAGACCAGAAGAGAACAGTCTCCTATGCAAGAATGCAACGCGGGGCACACAAACAAGGTCGGCCGCGCCTCGAAAAACTTCCTGTGCCCTGTCAGCAACGTCACGGAAATCCCAGAGTAATCAGGGTATGCCGGTATGCCTTTGACATTCCATGAAGTGCACCAATTTGTAAGTTTGCCCTCTGCTTCCTGGACCATCCTGGACCACATACGAATCAGGGTGACCCCAATCAGCTATTCGTTGCTGGTATGCAAATTGCAGATCAAAGTAAGTCTGTCGTCGGGTCCAACAAGCAGCACTCAGAAAGGGTAGGTTCACAACACTGATCAGAATGTGGATGGCAGCGACACATGTGATGAGGCATGTGATGTTACGATAATAGCGATATACTTGCAATAGCGGTACCTGAGTACAACAGCAAGACTTTCATGGAATGTTAGCTCCTATATAGATCCTCCAAAGTCCGGCATGCACAAATGATGTCCAGCCTGGCAGGCGGCGGAGTACCTGCGGTACCCAGCACAGACGGAGATCCCCGCTTCGCACGACGAAGACATGAGAGTTTCTGCGAAGAGGCTACCTCGTTGGCAAAGTATTTTGCTTCAGAGCTAGGAGTTGTGAACTCTTCATGGATGCTATCTTTATAAGGAACCAATTGCGTGTTTTTTGAGTCTCTGTGTAACTCTTTCGGAGCTGCCTCAGTGCAAGCTGCTTGGGGTGGCCATCGCAATGAGTACATACTCTTCAATGTGACAAGTTCCAAGTAGTAGTCCAAACACTTTGTCGCCAGCTGACTGAAATGAGCCTTTTGGTGCAACAGCAAATGATCCAGTCTCATTTCGTCCAAACAAACGATATCGATTGCATTATCACCCAAGAATGGGCATGGGAGCACTTGCTCGCTCCAAATGGTGTTCCATTCTAGACGATCTTCGTGAGATTCAAGCGAAACGGCTGCGGCAAGTCTCTGCGACACCCCAGGAAGATCGAAGAAATTCTTGTTCTTTCTCACACCACATGAGACATACCTGGGGCTCTGGGGCGGCGGCCAAACCCTGTCGTACCGTGGTGAAATCCTCGTCTCGATGACATCCGCTCTCTCCCGAGCTTCCCCGACCGCCAGAGTTCTGCGGAGAGCGAGAAGTTCCGAACCGGTGAGTGCGGTGAGGTTCGCTCCTGTGGGCGCCGAGATTTTGAGCATGACTCTTTGGGATGTGGGAACAAAGAATCTGAATAATGTGAGTGTCCATTTGAAATGTGTGTTGCACTGGCAGCACCTGTCAACAATTGCTTGACAATTGAAAAATGTCTCAAACTGAGAGAAATCCCAAGTCAACGATCAAAGCTAACCGATCCCAAAGTGATCTTCAAATGCAGTCAGAAGGATCTGAAGGAGCCTGTATTCCTCAAGCACGCCCATGGCTGAGGATTGAGGAAACCCACCTGGTACTGTGTAGGGCTGCCTTCGTTGGACTCTTGGAACCTCCTTTGAAACAAGATGAATTCTTCCCTTTTCCTAAGGAGCTTCAGAATCAACAAGTTGGACCATCAGCCACAGCGGTAGTCTCACGTCCTGCTCCCTCACCCTGGGAGTCATTGGTGCCTGGCACGAATGCGCTGGGGCTTTCAAAAGTGGTGTCTTCGTTGGGCATCTGTCACCAACCAGCCTCCACTGTTGCCCGGGGCGACCTGCAGAAGTGTCTGTACGGATGGACACACATCTCCTAAACATGTTTCACCATGCTTCACTCTGCAGGGTTTGTACAAAATCGCGGTGCACAGGCAGGAGGGTAATTTGAAAGCTAGGAAAAGAGATCAAAACATAAATGTTTGAAGGTTTGGCAGCAAAAGGTCAAACGGATATAAGAAGAAGCAACAACCGCTGACGCCCACCAAAAAGGTGCAGTTTCCACCCATTTGGCACGAGCCCCACCAGGCCGACTTTGGAGGTGTATTTATCACCACGATTCAACTGATGAAATTGTTTGATCAAAAACCAAGGATATCCAATGATACTGGCCATATTGGCATCCTTGAAAAAGGATCTCGCAAACTGCACATCTCAGATCGTTCTTTCGGCACTGGGGGTGATGCAGGTAAGGCACTTCGGTCTGCTTTCCTGGAACCACTCACGGTGCATCGTCTGAGGGACCTGACATGTTCACCGTCTCCTGGGCCTGACGAACCGCAGGGCATCGGTGACTTGATTGAACCGCTGCATCGGTCTGGGAGCCAACGGATAGATCGCTTCTCTCCCTCACCAGCTATAAACATTGACTGAGCCAACCTATATAAGCCCTTTATAGGTCTATGTCTAGGTGAGTATCCAAACAAGTTGACAGCTGAAGTCCTGAAGTCTGAATGTCCATTCACTGTGAGTTCTCCCAAGTGGGCACGTGGCCAGTTCACAAAACACAAGAGTGAAAAACCAAACAAGGCATATGCACGACTTCAAGCAACAAAGATTGGCGGGTTGACGCTCCACCAGGCTACACTTACAGTCCCAAGACCGGCGAGGAGAATGCCGGATGGATGCCAAAATCACCTCACCAGCCCTGAAGGTTTGGCAGATGCCTCACCAGCTCTGATGTTCGGATCGGACCGCGAGTCGTTCTCCTCGTCTCAACGAGTCGAGCGTCGTCGAACGCGTCGAACCACCCGCCTCTCGCTCCTCGGACGGCGCCATCTCTCGGAGCCTCGGACGGCGTTTCGGACGGCTGTTCGGACGTCCTTCGGCTGCCGGGGCGCTTGAGACGTGCGGCTCTGGTGTCTGTGTGGTAGTCCCAAGAACTGTGTGACAGTAGTCTTGTGAGCTGTGGCCTTTTTTGGGCTGGTTGTAGATCTATGGGAGAGATCAAAGTCATGATCGATGCTAAATGGCTAGGGGGATCCTTACGTAATATTGGACCTACTGCCCAGCTGTCACCCTCTGCAAATCCCAACCACCTGAACGGTAGGTTTCGTAGTCTTGGTGGAAACAAGTAGCTCAAGTAGCTCCAACTGCACCATTTGGCCTGTAGATCAGATGCCAAGCCGCCAGTTGTGAGTGATGAAGGGGTGCCTATCGCTTAGGAGTTGCTGCCCAAGCGGCTGCTCTTGATGCTGCGTAGCCGCCAAGCGCGCCTTGACAGGTAGCAGTGAACTAGCAAGAGTCATTAGTCATTAGATCAGAACTCTGCAAATGGATTCAGAATGAATGAGCAAAGGCCTAGACATAGGATCGCTGGCTGGAGGCCATCGCTATTAGGTTGGAGGTCTTAGGAAAAGGAAAAGGAAGAAAGGACTCTGAAAGGAATGCTTCCTTCGTTCTTTGCTTCCATCACTTCAAAACCTAAGGACTGCAGGGCACCTCTGCTGCAGCCAGTCGCACCCTCAAGGCCTGCCGCCACAGGCATCCAGGCGGTCTTAGGAACCAACTTAGTGCTTCACCAGGATGGAGATTCGCAACTGCCGTGTGCTGAAGATTGATTCATGGAATCTTGTTCAAGTACTTTGTGGAAAACTTTGAATTCAGGAGCTGAGGCCTATTCCTGCACATTGTCTTAGATACTGGCATTCTAACATCTTGTAGATACTACTTACTACTTACTGCATGTAAAAGATCTTATGCCTAGCATCGAATGCCTGCATTTGTGCCTGCATCGAGTCAGCCTTTTTGTCTGCGGATCGGCGTCTGAATTCCAAGCAAGTGGGAAAAGCTGGCTCGTCAACTGAGCATGCAATGTGCAGAAACATCTCAATCAAATGCGAGCTGCAGGATTCTGATTTGTCTGTGAGAGTCCCAATGTTACAAGCATGTTGCGTTTATATTAACATGTAGAATCATAATTTTTAAAAAATAGTGTATGTGTTTTTGTATCAGTTGTATTTAAAATACGTTCTCTTCGTTTGATCATAAAGATAGATATCATCCACAAAATTGTGTTATTTGTTTATTGGATAATATCTGTATGTTATGTTATTTGTATGTTGTTTTATTGTACCTTGTATTATTCACTATTGTACAAAAGAAAAATTGTTAACAAATTGGACTTTTTTGCATTCTCAAGCCAAATCTTGTAAAGTTGTGCCTACCCCTTTTTATTCAGATGAAAATAGCTTCGTTAGTTTTGACCTTTTTTGAAAGAATCCAATCCTATGCCGTTATGAAGCCAACAGAGAGACATGGTTCGACTGGTTTCTGGATCTTTAGTGACCTTGGTGTTTTAAGATGGTGAATTCCAATTTCACTTACCCACACTCCGACGGTCGTCGCTGGACGATGTCGCTGAGACTGGAAGATTGGGACCACCCCGTTTTGGGATGGATCCCTGCAGGCCTCGTTCGCCCCCGATCCGTCGGACCGTATCAGCTTAGCACGCACAGAAGGGTCCTACACGTCTGCACGCCTGCACGCAGGCGACCTACACATCTGAGAGAGTTCAGGATTTCGGACAAACACGGAGTTGATGAAAACGGAGGCTGTTGATTCGATGAAAGAGTTGAGTCTCTCTGTGGCGTGAGTTCCACCGGACCTTGCAGGATCTGGGCCGTTCGCCCATCGGGTCTCAGCAGTTAGGCCTCAGTGGATGTGGACTGCAGACTTTGGGATGCCTTGCTTCCACCCTAGGATTCTGCTCAGCATCCAAGCACCCTCCCAAAACTAGCATAGAACTGACAGTCCAACTCCACTATAAAGTGATAAAAGTAGTCCTTCATGGGGTTTTTGCTATCTTTTTTTGAAACCGATCCTCAAGCAGCAAATGTAACACCAGCCCCCACAAAATCCATCAAGCTGTGCTACTTGACGTGGAGCTCTTCGGAAAACAACACGACAGGTGCTACTGAAGGCACTTGGGCTTCCACCTTGGCTTCCACCTTGGCTTCCAGCTCAGCTATCTCAGCCAGGAGCTCTTTCACACGCGCAGCATCCTGGGTGATGGGGCAGCACAAGTGATGGAAGCAAAGAACGAAGGAAGCATTCCTTCTGGAGTCCTTTCTTCCTTTTCCTTTTCTCAAGAGCAATGGCCTCCAACCTAATAGTGATGGCCTCCACATGGGGCAGCTCAACTTCTTAGATCGCATCCTGCCTCGGCGCTTTCCTCCGTCTTTCGCTGCTGTGCATATGCACCTCAGACGGCGAAAAGCGAGTTTCCAGAAGCTGCATGCCAAGGAAAACTGTGAATGTGCCGAACAACTCTCTGCACATTGCACGTTGACATCAAATTGATATCTTTGTCTTCCAAACCCTCCCGTTGCACAGCATTGCGTTCGTGGCACTACCACGCCGAGAGAGGCTGGCAGCCTCCATTCGCAACAAAAGGAGCTCCTCCTGCAGCGACTATCATGCTGCTTGCATCGATTTTATATACTGTAATTGTTCCCATATGTTACCGTTCTCTAACAAGCGATTGCTGTTCCACCCAATGGGAGCCTGTTCCAACAATAATATGTTTTTAATACAGAGTCCTTTGAAGATCGTTAATCCGGTGTTGGATGCAGCACGCTACACCAACACAATAGGGAACTTCAATGTGGTTGGAGTAGTTTGAAGGTTCTGAGCAAAGGTGACGCAGCCCACGAACGTTGACAGAAGAGAAGGCTTTCGTTTGAGATGTTCATCATCCTCCCAAGAACATCTCTCATAAATGTCAAACATCAACAATTGGAAACCTGTCTATTCTCGTCCTCGCAACCATCAGCTCGAATCTCTCTGATACGACGCAGAGTGTCATTGCAGGCCTCAAAAAAGGACAAAGTGCTTGAGAATCTTGAAGCATTGCATCCGGGGCAACATACTCCCATGCTGAGAGTATCTCCAAAATGAAATCCTCTGGTGAGCTCCGCACATAAGGAGAAGCTAAGAAATGTCGTGGAAAAACACAATCTAGGCGGCCCTAGTATCTTCAAAACGCATTCAAAGATCTCCTGTCACGTCCAAGTTCTAAATGAACACTAATAAACTCTAGCAGCTAGCCATCGAATCATCCAGGAAATCCAGGAAACAAATGTCCAACCCGGAACTATGCAATCAAAATGGGGAATGTCCCGCTTCTGAATTTCAGGAAGTTCCCAATCCCAGTCAGCGCGCCTGCACGAGCTCTGGCAACCGACCACGTAGTCGTTGCAAACACAAGGAGCTGTTGCTTAGAACCTGCGCTAGCGCGGGTTCACAGGCTCAGTCAGAGAGAGAGAGAGAGGTTCTGGTTTTGGAGCTTTTGATGCTGGACCTCAGTCGATCTGTGCTTTTGGAAACAGGGTGATACTATGTTCTTATGCTTCTAGACTTGCTCTGTGTTAGGGCTAGGGAACCTCGCCAACGCGATCCAAAGAAAAACACCCGAACTGGGCTGCACCTTGAGCTCAAGCATCGGAGTTTCCCAAATCTTGCAGGTCTTCCTGGCCTGAGTGTGGAAGGGTTTTGCAATTCGCTCACCAAAGATTCTTTTCCGCGGGTCTCCGATCTCTTGCCCCTATAACGTTGCTAGGCTGTTCTGAAGGTCGTTGAATCAAACCCTACAAAGAATCCGGGAGAGCAGCGAAAATGATGGCCAAATGCCTTTGAGGCAAATTCAGTTCACTCAGGGCATCACTGCTCTTGACAACTCCAACCAGTGAACAAGTCCATGGCAAGGCAAAGCAAAGCAAAGCATGTTCTTCTTCATATCCAATCTTTTGCGGGCTGTTCAGTGGCACAAGACCGCTGCTCCTTTACACTCTGGGAAAACGGCCTGCCAATGGGCGTCTAATTGACAAGTCGTAGCTCTTGTTTGGTCTAGTAGGCAAAGGGAAATGAGCTATTTCCAGAACCAACTCTTTTACGAAGTGATCATCCACCTCTTATCACGAACCACTCAATACATCTTCCTTGGCAGCTTTCCTTGCCTTCTTGCAAAAATATATTGATGTTGCATCCGTATGCGTGAGATGCCTTCGCGGCACTCAACCATTCCTTGATCTTCCACGTTGATTCGCGGCACTCATCGGCTTCACAACTGTCGGCCCAATTGGCAGAGCTTACGACCCGTCAGGTTTGCTTCCGATGATTCCGCCACAGGTGACAAGCACTTCAGATCCACAAGACACACGGCGGTCTGCGGAGAATCGCGCGGTCTGCTCCGCGGTCTTCTCGCGGACGGCTGGCGTGTGCTGGTCTGGGACGTGTTGAAATCCTTGTCCCTTCTGGCACTCGGCAACAAGTGCAATCTACGTAGTCTCCCTGAACAAGGACTTAGGACGGCAGTGTTGTTTCGAAAATTGTGGTTTGAGATTTGCTCGGACTCCAGGACACACCCGAAGTCGCATAAAGACAAAATGCATGCAGCGCCAGGCCACAGCGTGCTCAAAGGACATCCTTTCACCCATCCACAGCACGCTCATTTAGGCGTCCTTCACTTCGCTGGAGCACGGCGCTGGATTTTTGACCCAGATCTGAGTGTCTTGCATAGCTGTAGATCTGCAGGGCAGATGCATAGTCCGCCTGCAAGTGGTCGCTGGCTTCAACAATGATGCAAGTGTGCCTTGCCTTCACACTTCTGTAGCAAGACATCTTGATATTATATATATATATAAAATATATATAAAGGTAAAAACATCTCAAGGTCGACACCGGGAACACAGAAAACACCAAAACGATGCTCCTTGACCCGAAAACCCCAACCACCGTGAATGGTCTGAAAGGTGGTACATCACAACTTTCAAGGGGTCACCAAGCCAGCTTGCAGGAAACCCACAGGCGTGCCCTATGCATGTACTCCGCGGCTGAGGAGATCAAAGCCGATGTAGATGCATGATCAACACCTGTGCAGACTGGCACGAAATGGATACAGTATTAAGAAGACCCAAAAAAATGTGATAAAATGGCACAGAATGCCTGAAGCCTGAAGATCTGGAACTCACACAAGAGGGACCCTTATCACATCGCCCCTTGCGCTGAATACTTGAACAATAAACTCAACCACAAGTAAAATCGGGTTCAGGGATGCATTGCTGACCTCCTTCGTCATCCTCGTCATCGTCCTCCTGCTCCTTCTGCGGCATGGAAGGTGCTGAAGGAGAAGGTCCAGCCACGAGCACGGGGTCGGTGGTGTCTCCTGCATGCTTCGAAGAGGACTTGGAAACAATTGAAAGCTATGAAGCTTAGCAATGCTTGGGATTGTTCCCAAACCACCACGGAGTTCCTATGACCTAACAAATGGAGAACCCCAAAAACGGGCCAAACGTGGCAGCCTGTGCAGAGTGCAAGGTCCTGCTACCTCTGGCTCGGCGTCTGCTGGCATGGCTCCTGGACTCAAGCAGAAGGATCTTACGGTTCCAACCCCCGGCCAAAGGGTCTTAGAATTCGGTTGGGTCCCGAATACAGCCCCACGAAGGACAGTGAGCCAGAATCCGGATGGGGCAGAGACCAATTCAGCCTTGTGAGTAACATGCAGAAAGTAATGCAAACAGGCTTGTTAGAAGGCATCCCTCTTTAGTAGTAACAAGTGCCACGCTAGTAGTAACAGGTGCCTTACTAGTAGTAACAAGAAGCTAGTAGTAACAAGAGTTGTTTTTTTCTGTTCCAAGAGCCAGTCGGCGCCCGACCGGTGGTGCCGCCTGTTGTGTCATCCTGTGTCAACTTCTTGAGGACCTCGCTACCTCAGTGGTCGATCCACAGATGTCGTTGGCCGACCCCAAAACGTTTGGAGTGTTGTTACTGGACTGGAAGAAAATGCAACGCCATGTCCTGCAAGCTAGCAAAATCATTCTTCACCAAAGAGTTGGATCAGGAAATTCACTTCTGTGATCAAAGAAAGGGCATGGGACATTATAAGACAGCTAGGAGAAAGTCAGCTTGTGAAGCTGGCCCAAATGCTTCACCACAAGTGACCAAGTCATAGACCCTGGTGCCTAGCTTTTCAGGAGTGCAATGGGGCGCCCAGACATGGGTACAATGGCCTGTGCGATCCTACATGCCTAGGTGCTATCGGCAGCTCGGATGAAATCAACCTGGGCCCCCCACGTTGTTTGGCTTCTCGATTCGCGGGCTCGACTTTCAGCACCTCAGGCACAAGGGAGACCAAGCAAGCAATCACTGATCATGATGACAATCATGTGCGCCCATATATCTTGAGCGATAGTTGACATGCTGATGTCAGGCTTTGCGTTCATGTGCACATGTTCTGCCGCCCGATGTCATCTTAATCCACTGATGCATCTTGGATGCTCGTCTACTGATTCTACCAGGCACGGTCAGGAGTGGAGAATTGCAAGCCAGCCAATTCGTGCGCCCCCATAGCACAACAAGCCAAATTTGATGGTGACCAAGACGTTGAGTTCCTAGCCTCCAACCAATATGTCAAACTAAAAGTACCGCACTAAGGACCTCCAAGGTGAAAAACGCTCCGTCCAAAAATGCGATTGCTCTCAGCTCTTTTCAACGCGGCCCAAACCATTCGCATCGTCCACAGCAGCTGCAACAGCAACCGCCGCGTCCAGTGCTGTCCCCAAACCTGGCCGTAGAAGCATGCAATGCTTCTTCAATTTAAGTGGATGAAACTATCCAAAGATGGTAGTGTCACATCTCTTGCTAGTTTTGCTGAAAAATGGACCTGCGATCCGAAGGCCCGAAGGTCAAACTATATCCATCTAGCCCCAAAAGGCTTGGCCAGGAACTGTTCCTGACCGCCCTGATTCCAGCTGAATTCCAGCAGACTACCGTGAAATCTGCTCTCCCAGGAAGTGCCTCCAGCAGTAGATGCACTGTCAGGAGGTCCTGCAGTGGACACCGAAACACTTTCCGATGTTGTTCTCTATTGGCGTCAGCGAAAAGGCAATTCCGGCAAGCGCACTAAAACGTGGAAAGGTGAAGGTATTCTCTTGGAGGGATCATGGTGAGGAGCTGAATGCTGTGGAGGGGTAACACGCAAAGAGAGAATTCAAAGGTGATTGTTCACAGCTCGACCAAACATCATCCGAGCCCTGAACAAAACCCGGCTTCAACGATTTGCTCTATCTGCCACAATATTGCCTCTGACACTACTTCGAGAGTTGTATGAACAGCTAGGAGAGCTTACATAGTTATATAGGGTTCTAAAGTCTGAATCTGCACCATCTCAAGGCAAAGTGTCAAAGTCCTTTTCAGCTGACTAGTACGACACGCATGATTTCATCTTTTCTGGCTCGGTGGACAGACTAGGTAACGAATGGGTTCATGCAAAGCCACCACAACCCCGAAGGCTTGCAATCCCAGTCTCCCCGTTATCGATGTAGGAAGCGGCACTTCTCACCATAGCTGCAAAAGCCCCGCTGGAAGTCCCGGCAAAGTCCATCACCGTTGCTGCAGAAACGCTTGCCTTTTCCCTTGCCCTTGCCTTTGTTGTGCATACTATAACTACCACGGGACTCATCAGTGAGCATGGGTGGAGAATCGCTCTCTTCAATGCAGAGTTCGCACAAACTCCAAAGGATAATTGAGATTCGACCTTTCCCATCTTGCTCTTGCTCTGGCAACGCGTTGATCCCATGCTGCCAAATGATGTTCCTCAGCGGAAACTGCGTCACCAGCTCAAACGCGGCACTTTTGACCAAAGCATTAAAACAGCTGAATCCCAAACTTCTCTAGTGGTAGCACAGTCTTTGGTAGCAGTCAAGTGGCACATCCCTGCCGAAGTAGAACAACATGCCATTCTTTTGAGGGACATAGATCAGCTCTCCTGTTTTGGCATGTCGAAAGGCCAACTCTCGAGTTGAGCCAAAGGAGATGCCGATGGTGCAATTTTGATTGGCAGCCCTCTGCTCGTTAAAGGCAGCCTGTCAGGAGCAGTGGAGGATTCTTTTCGGGTGACCAAGGCATCTTGAATGTCAATATCAACAATACAACTTGGCTTTGGCTCCATTGTTCCATTCGTGTTTTCGGACCGGGAAGCTCCCAATCACTCACATCCCAACCCAAGGAAGGACACCAGTGACCTCCGCATCGAAAAAAGAAAAAGAGGTGTTCCTTTTTCTAGCCCGCTCCCCGCGCTTACTTAATTAAGCGAGAAGCAAGTACCTACAAGAACGCAACTACATTTTTTACTCAGGATAGCTCACGTTTCTTCCTTTGGTTCGTGGATGTTGAGGGAAACTTCATGAACATGATGTCTCCCGTTCGGCTCGGCTCTCTCCAAGTCGACATGAGCATCGGTCCTCGAGACGTTTGTCGTTTGCACTTCGTGTTCGCTTCGTGTTCGAGATCGTTCGCCAGGTGGCAGAGTCATGGTGGAAAGGCTTCCAATCGGATCCATCTCTATACCAGTTGAAGCGAGTCCCCCGATTGGGGTCAGTGGCGCTGAAGTACTGACCTTTCTGGTCAAATACCCGATAGAGCAAACAAAAGCTGATTTGGAAATACTTAGGAGACCTATGAAGCCAAAGGGTAGAAGAAAACTAATACAAGAGACTGCCAAGCAGCACAAGCTGTCAATCACCTGGCAGGTTTGCAGGCAGCAGTCAACTCGCTACGTAGGGTACGACTGATCAATTGAACCTGGAGAAGGGAGCAAAACTTTGACCAATCCGACAAGCAATTCTCCGTGCAAGTCGGAGAATGTTATGAGACCCATAGAGCATCGAAATGTTATGAACCGTTTAAAGATCTTTAAAGCGATTTTCCCGTTCATAGGCCGCTCTGCCCCCTACCTAAAATAGATAGAGATGGCCCCCAACCTAGAAGCGATGGCCTCCAACCTAAGCGATTTCCCATTCATAGGTCCGTGGAGGAAGTTTGGTGGACCCAAGTTCGATGCCCGCTGTGCAGCCTGGTCGCCTCATTGTAAGTGTCCGAGGCGCTTGGATTCTGACTCAACAAATGCGCACCCTCATGCCAAGAGACCCACTCTGCCTGGCACAAGTGGAGATCTGGCAAAAGAGCAAAAGACAACAGACTGGGTCACTCAGCTTAAGCTTCGTTTATAGACGTCATTTAAGTATTCAAATATGTATTCTTAAGCTTTTTGGGGACTCTTCCATTTCTTCAAAGCTTGCCGTAGAATGGAGGAAGTCGCTGAAGAATTAACCTTGAACCTAAGTGGGATGGCTTGCTCGTCTGCGTTTGATGGATGAATGGCACCAGCCCCATTGGAACATGATCGTAACCACAAGTTTGCTGTTGCTCCATCAAGAGGGTCACATTTTCCTGATCGTGTCTTCCCAGGACATAACAGTTGAACAGAGCGCTGTGCTTGGAGGCTTGATTGCTTCCTTTGTCCCAGGCCTTCCAGTCCCCGTTCGCTTGACTCTGCCGCATCTCCTGGCCGGGTGTGTGCAAAAGCCTCAAGAGAAAGCAGCAAACCCTGGCCATAGGCCCTACAGTACTAAGGTCCCTGTACCTTGATGAGGGTGTAGTATATGTCCCAATCATCTTCTCCACAGAAGAACTCTGGCACGATGATGACGTCATCATGCTTAACAGGAGCAGTATAGCGCTGCGATGCATGCACCTCTAGTCAAACTCTAGTCCCAACTCGTGGTTTGGATAATTTTGTCCATGCAATGGATTCACAACAAAAAGGGATCTAGATTGAGCCAAGACGCAGTAATCACACGCATGGATGGCCTCGCTGGCCAGGCCACCAGCTCTTCATGACTGCTCGGCTTCTCATGGGGGAACTTGCACTTGTCACCGTAGGTGCATCGCCCCAAATGGAAATCTCGGCACACTTCCTGGCAAAGTGAGAGATATCCCTCGAAGTGAATTAGCCAAAATAGACCTGTAATACGCCGTAAACTTGTAAACCAATCCTTTTTATGCGAAGCGCTCGAAATCGAGGGAGCCCGTCCTTAGCCTTTTCTGGCAAGCGATCTTCCAAGGCTTTCTTGCTGCTGCCCCACAGAGACACCAAGACGTTCAAGTCTTCGGGAGCCTTCGACTCGCCAGAAGACCACTTCTTGACAATGTCACACCCGAGCAACATCAGGGTGTTGTTGCCTTGAGGGAAGTAGACCACTTCACCAGTCCCAACACGCTTGAAAGCATGTTCAGCAGTCCCGCCCAAAGAAAGGTGGAGCAAACAAGCCTT